ATGACCGGGTTTGTTTTCAATAATTTTCCTTTTATTTCTATTCATTAATGAATTATATGACCTTTTCCTATCGTGAGGCTATCGATTATCTTTCCGACGTTTCGACCTTAAATTAATGTTGAAAAAAAACATCTCTTCGGAGAGTTATTTTAAAAGTCCATATGAACAATTAATTTCTTTTCTAATTTTTCCCTTGGTTGATTTTCCCCAAAGGATTTGTCCTTGCTAATTTCTGCAAATGACACTGAAGGTTAAAAAATATTATCTAGATCTTAGCCTTAACATACTGGAAACGTTTTAGATTCGCTCAACAAGCCTGTATTGCTCGGTTAATTGTTGCAAAGGAAATCGATTGTTGTCCTATTGTGACAGTATGCCACAACTGAACAATATATGGTCGAATAAAATAGACCTCTATTTTGGTGTTATGACTTTTCTAGGTCATGTGGCCCAGTGCTTAGATTATTCATTCTAGGCTGTCACACCTACAGACGCATGAACTTATTCCAAAATCTGGCTAGCCCACGAATATTTACTCGCACTAGCGATTTTGTTCGGATTAGGTCCTGGTCAACGATGTCTAGCCTAATTGTGCTATGTTGCAGGCTACTGTTCCAATTATTCATGGGGTCATCATCAGGGTTGTGAGTAGTATCGGTTTTGGTGTGGGTTGTTAGATTGATACCTAAGCGTGTCGCATAGTAGTCAAACATGCGACTCAAGTAGCATATGCACGGTAAACCTCAACCCCAAAATGATGATACGAATCAAGTTTTATATGCTACGTCCTGTATGGCTAGCGTGGTTGGAATATGGAGAATTTACCTGTAGATAGATAAAGACGTTGTAGCCCTCTGATAGTTGGGACAAGTCTTCTACAATATTATATCAGAATCGATACTAGCCTCTCATTAAGCAATCTTGTGCATTATTTCCAATGTCTATGATAACAGACGTACATATACAAAGTCGGCAACAAGTTTAAAGTCGATAAGATATTTTCGATTTGGATTCAACTGTTTAACCATATATCTATGTCAGTTGTTTTAGCTGAATTTTCAAGCCTTATTAACTTTGATTTTGATTGAGTTTCTGCTGACTTCGAGGATGAATTCAATCTTCTTTTTACTGCGCAAAAAAAGCCACGTTGGTGTGCGTTTGCTCGATAAATTAGTCAACAACGCTCGTTCAAATAGAGTTGGCTCTAATTTCAGAAAAAAAAATTCTAAGAGCTGTTGTAATCGATTATGAATCAAAATATACTGTTATTCATTAGTCGCCCAAAACGCTATTCGGTGTGTCGTTGCAGCATCATTCAACATCCTCGGTCTGTAAGTAGGGGCCTAGAGCATCGTCAATTTCTGTTTCTATTAAATACTTTCATCAACTGAGCTGCTTGCTCATTTGCAGCATGACGCCATTGCTCAAACCCTCCTGCTTTTTCAGGAAAAAATGTTCGAAAAATATTATGGTCTTATATAGCGTTAAACCCCGAGCTCATAACTTGTTGACTCGATTTTTATTGGATGGTTCACATAAATTTACAAATGTAGCTTATCATTAAGTAAATATATAGAATTGTTCGTTTATTACCGCAAAGGAATTGAATAAGCTGTGATAAATGATAGAATAAAGTACAATTGATTAATAAACTCAGTACAGGAGCTGTCCCTTCTTCCTTTCAGCTCCAGTCATCTTTTATCTACCTACCTTCAAAATTCTCACGTCATCTATCCACTTAGAACCACATTTAGATTCCATCAACAAGTCAGATCAAATTGCCACAATATTCCGTGCGCATATATGAGCTCATGGGCGTGTTAGTGAGAGATTTGCGTCACGCATTGGCATGGCGTTATATGATATAATTGTCAAGGCAACGTTCGCGTGTATGGCAAATATTCGTATTCACCTATACAACCGAGACCGTGGTCCGTAATTTAGGATAAAGTTTTATAAGTAGTGGCGTGTTACGGAATGAGATTGTGATTCAATCGATCGATCGAAATATACAAAGTTTGTTTGACTTCCTAGAATAAAGATTGCCCAAGAATAACCTTAATGTGGAATAAGGGTATCTGTAAGACAAAATTATTTTACAGTGGTGTAAGTAAGCGGGCCTTGTAGACTTTCGCTGGCCTCAGCTGGTCACCAATTACACGCCCACGCCGATATTCACACCCGACGGAGGAAGCAAAGCGTGGCGCACGAAACTGGAAGACAGTTCTTTGGGGTGGACGTGAGAGGGTTTGGCACAAGTTTACAAGATGATGCAAAGGAAGGATTTGACCTCGTAAGGCGTGGAATTTCGTAGTTTGGCAAGGAGTTCTACGAATTCAGCTTTGTGCGTGCCAAGACTTCGCTTGCGAGAGTGCAGCTGACACTATAAAAACAAGCGAACGATGAGAAGTGTTTTTTATCTTATTTTTTGCATCAGATTTTAATTGCGTATGCAGCTATCTAGCTATGACACAATATCAAAGAAAAGTACAGAAAAGATGACTCAATTTACAAGAGGAGCACTCATGCCTCGGATTTCATTTGCAGGTACCACTGCGAAGTTATGGTGGCTTTTTCTTCACTCCAAGTCAACCCTCATCTGTGAAAACCCACCCAGGGGAACGTCTCAAAAACCCTGAGTTATCCAGACATGCCTCCGTCATCCATCAACTTTTCTCCGAGCGAAATTTAATCTGAGATGTCTCCTTCCCAAGTGGAGTAGGTGCGCAGGCTACTCAAACCATACCAGAGAACACCACCAGGCGGCGGGCCACGACACCTTCCATCGTCTGCTTATTTTTATAGTGTCAGCTGCACTCTCGCAAGCGAAGTCTTGGCACGCACAAAGCTGAATTCGTAGAACTCCTTGCCAAACTACGAAATTCCACGCCTTACGAGGTCAAATCCTTCCTTTGCATCATCTTGTAAACTTGTGCCAAACCCTCTCACGTCCACCCCAAAGAACTGTCTTCCAGTTTCGTGCGCCACGCTTTGCTTCCTCCGTCGGGTGTGAATATCGGCGTGAGCGTGTATTTGGTGGTCAACTGAGGCCAGAGAAAGTCGACAAGAGGTGTGATCATTGGAATAAGGATGTACTAGGTCGTACTTGTAGACTTGGTGAAGCTTAGTTGAGAATCGGACTCTTTAGGAGTGAAAGATTGACATGGTGGAGTAATTTGAATTTTTGCCTCGTGGGCCAACTTCTTTGATATTGCGGAATCTGACTGAACTTGGCTCTGGGAGAATATTTTACTCACAGGTTCGTAGAGAACACCGCGTACAGGTGTTCAGTCTTGCCCTCCGATGGAAGGTGTCGTGGCCCGCCGCCTGGTGGTGTTCTCTGGTATGGTTTGAGTAGCCTGGGCACCTACTCCACTTGGGAAGGAGACATCTCAGATTACATTTCGCGCGGAGAAAAGTTGATGGATGACGGAGGCATGTCTAGATAACTCAGGGTTTTTGAGACGTTCCCCTGGGTGGGTTTTCACAGATGAGGGTTGACTTGGAGTGAAGAAAAAGCCACCATAACTTCGCAGTGGTACCTGCAAATGAAATCCGAGGCATGAGTGCTCCTCTTGTAAATTGAGTCATCTTTTCTGTACTTTTCTTTGATATTGTGTCATAGCTAGATAGCTGCATACGCAATTAACATCTGATTCGAAATAAAAGGACTCAATTATGTCCCGGAATCCGTTCGCAACCCTCTACTACTCTCTACAATAATCTTACCTGTTTTAATATACTAACCCCATTTTTGATACTCCCTCACCTTCAATAATGAAAGATGAGCCACACTTTCCATTGACTTGGACATTATTGGGACTCAGGTGAAAGGTCTTCATAGCATTCGACAGACTAAGATTAGTGACAACTACAAAAGATTCTGATGAAAGAAAAGGTACGCCATGCTATCTACTGATGTGGGGCAATGAATACCATTTAGTTGAAGACTTCTGCAAAACCTCTAAGGTCCAAGTGTTGGTTTTGCGAGCACTTATGTGGGATCACCATTTTGCATCTGAGATGATAGCTCATCAGCTTGACTATATCTTGCTCCTTCATATTCTTGATCACCATATTTATCAAAAACTACGCAATGCGCGTCACGTGATATGTGTAAGAGATAACCGAAAGATGGTCCTCCCTAAATTTTTACCCATAAATCCTGCCCTTGGCCAACACTAGCATTGAAATCACTGTTCATCTTTACTTTTAAGTCATCTGTTTACGGCCAGGAAATAAGTCGTATATCTAGCGATAAGACAGGGTAAGCCGCAGGCTGAATAGTCTCCATATCCTTGTTAATCCGTATTCAAATACTGTTAGAGCTTATTACAGGCAATAATGTAAAGAGAGAGATGGACGGATAAGAAAATCGAGTTTCTAGCTCATATCTGATAAAGTGGACCTCGAAACACATATCTCTGATTCACATAAAACTCATTTATCTCATAATATTGTTACGATAACACAGTTTATAAAAATTATGAATATGCCGACAAATTTAGTGATGCTCATGAGGGCGAGACCCTCAGCGTCAATTGGAAAGCAATGATATTAATAAGTCTATATAAATTTCAGATTTTAAAGCTTTTAGACAAATTTTGCAGTCCTCTGTAGTCAAAGACTAAGTACGGACTTAAATCTGATTATAATCTGCTCAAGCTAGCTCAGTACTTGCAAGAACTTAAGGGTTGCTTGTCGTTGTGATCAAGACAATAATCCTCACTACGGATTCATACAAATAAATCCTTTTTTTGGTTGGGAGCCTAGGCCAGTTGCAAGAATTTTCGGTGAATACCTTAGTTAAAAATGAGAGAGTCGAGACCTTGGTACATACATGAAGTAAATGACCACACTCTTCCTTGTCAAAGATTTTTAGAGGATACGGTTATGCCCATTACTGTCGGTTTGGCAATCAGCGCATAAATATTCTCCTTCAGTTGTTGACAATAGACCGGCAGAGATAGAGATTATAGATACACCTGTATAAATTTATTTTATTTGTCATTATCTGTGCTCGGAGGTTCCTTGGATACTAGCACTTTTCTTTCCTTTCCTAGTACCACTGTGATACAATTAGCAGGAGAATAATATGTTTTCCAAACGCTTACATCTCTGATACAAGACCCAGCTGGTGACTATTGCGATCGGAAGAGCTACTATAGCCGTAGTGACTCTCCTGAGTGTTGATTTGTAGTTTGGAGGAAGTGGTTTCGGATACTCTCTTCGAGAACTTGAATTTGACTGGATCTCTTGAGAGGTGGAAGCCGCACGTATGGATTGTGCTCGTAACTCTATTCTGGCAACTTTTGACAGCTACAGTGGATTTGTATTAGGCCATGAATATAAGCAGTTTATCAGGATACTAACACTAGGATAGTTACTGCAAGAGCTAGCCTGCCTCGAGACATTTATTTGTAACAGTGATACGATTTTTAGGTCTTTTCGCAAGGCGGGTTCCATAAGCCTAGTGGAATGCCTTGACATGGCCGCAGACGCATTTAGGTTAGGGGAGCTCATTTCTAGCATTAAGTTTATTGAAGAACTAGAAAGCTCATGTAGCCTAGACTTCTTCCCTTAATGTGGGGTAAACGCTAAAGCATACCGACCAAAAAATAGTGATAATCTATTGGGAAATTCAACAGGTCTCGACAGATTTCCCAAGAAGGTTAGGCAAAATGCCATCGAGATAGCAAGTAATTCTCAGGGCATCAGGGCATCAGGAAAGTTCGTTGGTTGGTTACCTTTGCCTTTATTGTATTACATGAGTCTATGACTATCTAGCACATTTGCCTCCTCTCTAACCCAGGCCACACCTTGTACAGTGCTCCTATCCTCATTTGTTACGAATAAATATCTAATGTAATGCCCACTATAGATGGCTATTATTACCAGTTACTCCACATATAATTCAGCCCCATTTTCTACCAGACCTTCCACTTAAAAAGGGAGATGGAAACAGCGTGCGTGAGGAAAATCATTCAAAAAATGTAGCCCTAACCACATAAGATAAGTATATCGGTTTGTGTCTCCCCTGTAACATTAAAGGCCAACTCGATCAAATCCACCACCGCCGCATGGGAATCTATATATGCCCCAGAAACCTACCAGATGACTTCTCTTTGATGACTGATTAAGAATAGACAAAAGGGTTGATAGGTTCGGTGCAAAACCTACCGTATTGACTGATGGTGGTTAGCTCCAAAGTAATGGTGCCAGGGGGTTGAGCTGAGATATGAAGGCGATAAATGCCGCGGGACTGTTTGGGAATCCTCATCGAAGTGAGGACATCGGATACCGTTCTTTTTGGCTATCCTAAACATACGGAGTACACTAAGCGTTTATACCGTTGCCGCTAGAAGGTGGAAATTTTGTCTCTACCAATTACAGTCATCAGAAACTTTCTTCATGGGGGTACCCGCTCTGATGAAGTTTCAAAACTCTTGGTTATCTATGCACTCAAGTATCGTAAAAACAGTAGTCAAACCTTGCCAGGTTACACCTATTCATCTCCTGTCTCAAGCAAGATTGGAGTCCAATCTATCTAGAATCTACTGGGGAGACCGGCTTAGTTGTTGTACCACTGAAACTTCCAGCCATGATGGTATTTAGTGTGTCGCCGGCACTGTTGCAAACAAATTGCTGGAGCGCACAATGCTCTTCCATTTGAAAAGCTCATTCTTAAGAATCGCAATTCCATTATTCATTGCATCTGTCCTTCGCATCATTCGGATTATTCGTCCTGATATCTCCCACATCCTTCTGGGAGATCAACTTTTACAGATTTGTGCGCCTCAATGTATGTCCTGCAGTTATTAATGTTCTGGTAGGCATTTGTCTAGAGGCTAGGGACATGCGATTTTTTTAATTCGTATTTTAATCGCATATATAGCTAGCTAGCTACGACAAAATATCAGTGAAAAAGTACATAATAGTTGACCAAATCTAAACATGAAGCATTCATGCCTCGGATTTTATTTGCAAGTACCACGGCGAAGTTGTTGAGGCTTTTTTTTTCACCCCAAGTCAACCCTCATGCGTGAATACCCATCGACAGAAACTTCTCAGACCCCTAGTTATCTAGACATGTCTCTGTCGTCCATTGACTTGTCTCCGCGCGAAATGTGGTCCGAGGCGTCTCTTTCCCAAGCGGAGTAGGCGCCAAAACTACTCAAACTATACCGGACATAACTACCAGGAGGCGGATCACAGCACCTTCTATTGTTGCTTTGTGTTTACTGTGTCAGCTGCACCTTAGCAATCGAAGGCTTGGTGCGCACAATGCTCTTCAATTTGTAAACTCGTTGCCAAAATTCGAAGTCTCACACCCGTCGACATTGTATCCTTCTTCTGCGTCATCTTATAAACTTGTCTAGATCCCTCTCACGCCTATTCCAAAGAACTGTCTCCCATATTTGTGCTCCACGCTTTGCTTCCTCCGTCGGGTGTAAATATCGGCGTGGGCGTGTATTTTGTGACCAGCAGCGGTCAGAGAATAATCGAAGAGAGGTGTGGTTACGGACATGAAGATGTACTTGGCCGTACTTGTAGACTTAATGAGGCTTCGGTAAGAGTCAGTCTCGTTGGGAGTGAAAATTTAACATGGTAGAGTATTTTGAATCATTGCCTCGTAGTCCAACTTGTCCGGTATTGCGAAATTTGACTGATCTTCGCTCTAGGAGAATATTTCACTCTCAGGTTCGTAGAGGACATCGCGTACTGGTGCTTAGTTTTTGTCCTCCGAGAAGTGTATTTACATAGATTGGGATGCATCAGGTCGAGCATATGTACCCGATGGGGGTTGGCTCGGAATCGATTTGGTTGGGAGTAGAATATTGATGTATTAAAAACCCTCAGTGTGATTGCGAATGACCTTGCTGAGCCATCAATCTTTGATGCTTACTAAGCGAGGTTTTACAACACATAATACTCTGCTTAGCTATCGAATCCTACAACGCATGTCGTTTTTCTTTAAAACCGAAATCCTAGTTCAACAACGAATGATTCAATATGTCTTATCAGCTTCCATCTAACATTCGCTCCATAAGCGACATAAACTTTTCTGTTATTAAACGTTACGTTCCTTCTCTGCACAAGATAATTGCTATTGCTGCCTCTGCATCAATCTATATCCTCACACCCGACAATTCTGAGGCCGGTGCGGAATGGAAGCGGGCTGAAATAGAAGGCACACTCTTTGTCTGCGAGCTAGACAATTCAAAATCAATTGGCACAGATCATCATTGTATAGTCGTTTTGAACAGAAAAGGGATGGATAATCTAATCATCGGATCTGGGGAAATCGACAACGTAGAGATCACCACCAAGTTTTTGACGTTAAGTTTCAGTACAAATGGTGAGACTAGGATTCTTGGCTTCTTTATACAAAGTAGCATTTGTTCTCGTGAGGATATCTGTACCTTGATCAAAGGTCATTGGGAAGCCGCGAAACAAGAGCAAGTGAATTTTGAAGTATCCCACAGCGAAGGTCTAGAAGGAAGCATTGAATCTCACTACACATACCATAGATTAGCAAGAAGACTAAGTCTATCAGAGCTTTTTGGTCGTCGTTAATCTTAAGCACGGAACTCATAATTACCAGGAGTTACAAGAGGCATGGACATTAAAACTCAGTTATTAAGTTCAAAATGACAACTTTAACGTCGAGGGGCCTTGATAGATCAGTAACAAATTACGACCTTCTCTCAGAAAAACTGATCTCTAAATACTACACGCCGATTAACTCCTAATAACATGAAATGTAGACTGGACATTAAAAATCTAGTTTAAAACCCTCTAAGACCTTACCAACTCGAAAAAACATGCTCGTTTAACTACAACGCTTACATGGGGCGAGGCTCGGTCGCCCTACGAAAAAAAATTTTCAGCTTTTAAAACCCATCTGGCTATCAACATGTCACATTTCAGAATTCAAAATTTCTCCTAATGTCTGACGAATGAGATCTGAAACGCCTTCAACGAGAAGGCGCTAAATCTACTACAACAGAAACTAACATAGTACCACAATGAAGGACGTAGTAAAATTTGGAAATATAAAGGTTTTGATCTCTAAATACACACCTTGTGTATGAAAAGCTTCACTAAAACTACTGTACTGAGACAATATTTTGAAATTATCCTATACGAAACTAAGTTCCTGCAAAGATGTATAGGCATAGCTAAGCCTGGGAAAGTAGATGATGTAATAATTGGATTGGTTTTCAGCACAACTAGGATAAGAAGAGATTATTTTCAGTAATAACACTATTTTTGCGACTTCCAAAAATTTCCGAAAAAAATACGACAACTCGACTCATACACGCGCAGTTTTAATTTACCCAAGAACAATATCTTGGAAAATTTAGACCGGATGGCTAAAAGGGTCCAATTTCCTGTACTTGAGCATAAATATCAATTTCGCTGGTCCGATTAATGGTGCGAAAAATTGGGTCTAAGAAATCGGATAAACTTGCATCCTAGTTTTATTGTCTGTAAATTGAGACCTTGTGAAACTTTTGTGGCTATTTGATGCTAGCTCACCAGGAAAATGTGGTCACTTTAACTAAATAAATATTTACTTATGAATGGAACAAGAAAAGAAATTTAATTAAGGCAAAAGCCTTTATTTAAAAATGTTTATTCCTAAAAACATGATCTGATATCCTGTGTAAACATAGACTGAAGTTCTAATCGTACTTATAATCACTGTGGAGATAAGTTTTGAATCCTGTGTATGATTTTGTTTCAAATCATGACCGGTCAGTCACAAGGTTATCAAGCGTTTTCACCAAAGTGACTATCGAGGTGTTTACCAGTTAACCATTTAGAATTTTTTATTTAGAATCAGACTTTAATTGAGTATGCAGATATCTAGCTACGACACAATATCAGTGAAAGAGTACATAATAGTTAACTCAATTTACAAGAGGAGCACTCATGCCTCGGATTTCGTTTGCAAGTACCACGGCGAAGTTGTAGCGGCTTTTTCTTCTCCTCAAGTCATCCCTTGTTGGAAAATATACTCTGTACGATATTATATGGATAAATAGGATTAAGTAAAGAAGACTTCATACTTTACAACTATGTGAACATTGGACTTATCTATACATCTTAGGAGAGAAATTCCCACTAGTCTCATGTGCCTGTCAAACCTAGTGATGACCAGCCACCTCTCGTCTACCATGATGAGCCAGAGTACACTGTAGTACGTAAATATCCAAACGTATATGCAACAGTAAGCGCGATTAGCGCACTCGGGACATGTGTAGAGAGAGTCGATCTTGTCGGGAAGCTGAGACGAAACAGATAATGGTTGAGTCCTAAATTCGAGAGTCAGAATTTCCAACATCCCTCATCCGTGAATACCCATCGACAAAAACTTCTCAGACCCCTAGTTATCTAGACATGTCTCTGTCGTCCATTGACTTGTCTCCGCGCGAAATGTGGTCCGAGGCGTCTCTTTCCCAAGCGGAGTAGGCACCCAAGCTACTCAACCTATACCGGACATAACTACCAGGAGGCGGAGCATAGCACCTTCCATTGTTACTTGATTTTTTTTAAATAATTTAATGTGTATTCAGCTAAAGAGCTATGACACATGACCGGTGCTATGTATACATATTGGTTGACTCTTTTGACGTTAGAGACACTCGTACTCTGGATTTCATTCGCAAATACCATTATGAGGTATGTTCGCTTACACAAACAGTAGACTCTCCTCCGTTAGTACCCACCAAAGGGACCTTTTAAAACCTTTGTTTATCCAAGCATGCCTTCGTCACCCATGTTTACCAGAGCCGCGAAAAATGTGGTTGTGTTTCGCCGGATTCGAACCAGTAATCTACTATCTCAAGTGGGATTTGTATCCAAGCTATCCAGACTCTACTTGGCAGACCGGCCAAGACGATGTACCACCGCACCATCCAGCCATGGCGATGTTTATAGTGTCGCCTGCACTCTCGCGACCGAAGCCTTGACACACACAAAGCTTAATTCGTAAAACTCCTTGCCAAATTTCAAACTTCTGCGCACGTTGAGACTGTATCCATCCTTTGCATCATCTTGTTAACTTGTCCTGAATCCTCTCACGCCAATCCCAAATAGACTCCCAGATTTTTGCGCCACACTTTGTATCCTCCGTCGGGTTATTAATATCTACGTGAGCGTGTATTTGGTGACTTGCTGAGGCAAGAGAAAGTCGACGAGAGGTGTGGTTACGGACATGAAGATGTACTTGGTCGTACTTGTAGTCTTGATGAGGCTTAGGTATGAATCGGACTCTTTGGGAGTGAAGGTTTGACGTGGTGGAGTAGTTTGAATCATTGCCATGTGGGCCAACTTGTCCGGTATTGCGAAATTTGACTGAACTTGGCTCTGGGAGAATGATTCACTCCTAGATTCACAGAGGACACCGCACACAGGTGTTCAGTCTTGCCCTCCCTGTGTTAGCGTTGTTTACTGCTGTTAATTGGAAATCCCGCATGGGCTATCTATTGGGATGAAAAGGAATCTGGTACCTGTGTTTAGAAGAGTAGTCGAATCGACATCCTTTTATCCTTCATTATTGCATGAGCTTCCCTCTACCAATAAGTCCACGAACTAAGTAGTGGGTTATACATTTTAATAGTAATGGCCATTTGCACATTCTTCCAGCGCAAAAAGTACGTACTCCGTTGGTGAGCACGTCATTTTGCTCTGCCATTCCTCGTCGTTGAATTACTATGCCATCTGGCTTGGCTCTCTCACTTGTTAATTGAACCTCGCGGTCTCACATTCCTTCTCGACCACAACATTATGTGGAGAAGTGGAACTTAGTCGCATGGTACAAGGTAACATGGACCCCTCTCTTTACTGTGCCCCCAAACTCCGCTTACGTCTACACCTGTGAAGGAACTTCACATTTGTTGTTCACAATTATGGTTCCAAGAATGAATTTATAATTTATTTAAGAGGGAGAATGCCAATGACGCACGCGCATGATGTTTTGTTCCAGTCGAGCGCGTTTTCCCGTGACACTAGCGCGCTTTTGTTCATAGTCGGAGCCGGATAATTCTGGATCCACATACAAGGCTACAGCCTGTAACACAACCCAAGTTTAACCATGGTGAAACCGTGACACTCGTATACAGCTTTTTTTAAAAAGTACCAGTTATTATTTTTATTTCATTTTATTGTGCTGTATGGGTCTATGACTATGTAGGAAATGCAGATTCTCTCTGCCTACAGGTCTAGGATACCTATGCCATAAGTATATCCCCTCGTTGCCTCCCATACAGCTCCCCTCAAAAATTACGAGCCCTCACAATTATTCGATCATACACTTAGATAAGCCTTTTGCCCTTATTTATTCCCACCTCTACAGCCAATGAAACGATGGCTATTTGCGTGTATATGCCAGCCGGGAAATTTCTCAAAATTCACCTGATGCCGGACTCTTCTATACCAACAGTAAGAGTAAATCCAAAGACATAGTGATCCTTTGGAAGCATTCGGAGAGGCCGGCCAGTGGGGGCTAGCGTACTATGGCTAAAAGATACACAGCGTATTTTACTGTCCACTCTGTGAGACATTGACTCTGGCTTAGCGTAATTTAGTCGTGTACTACAACTCATGAAAGATTATGCCAAATTATTCTCTACTTGATGTAGGAGTGATAGTATTTTTTGCAAGCCGAGTCGATAGAGACATCAATCAGCAAAATCATTTCGGCCTCGGGGTGCGATTTTGGGAGCCAGCAGCGACTTTGTTGCATGCTCCGTGGCTCTCCAATGAGTTGGACCCCATATCTATCTTCCCAAGTCCATCATAGCATCGTATTCGTCACATTTCAAGTTTGTTTTGTCAATCTAGGTGCCCATAAATCGTACATCAATAGAGATTAAGCTTAGCATCATATAACTGAATCCAGTCTTATTGGCTAAAACAACATGAAATACTTTGAAGATATGAAAAGCACAGGCTCAGACATAAAAGCTTCCTCTATGATACTTGTCCACACATGCCATAAATTTTGAGTTAAATATATTGGCGCTATGAATGAGAGCAACGTGATCCCACCCCACTCTTTTATCGAATATTTGTCATTCAATTAATTTTCTAAAAGACATTTATTAGTTCTTACTTTTAATTCCTAGGTCTCGTTTTTGAATTTTAGACATAGAAATTAAAAGATTGGCATAGAGAGAGAGTATGTGAGAGACGGTCTTAGACAGTGCTAGCCGCTATTTGCGCAGCACATTTTCAACCTGAACTCATTTCACGAAGCTAATGTTGCGCCGTGTGGCTGGTGACTGAAATCTCGTATGAGCTAAGTGACTTCTAGGAGACGATGAAATAAGTTTATATAGTCGACACTGAGGATGTATTGAAATATTTCGATTGCATGAAAGATTGTTTGACTAAGTTATGGTATCATATGATGACGAAGATGACAATTGTTTTCTAAGTCGTGTTTAAAGATATGACTTCTATAAGTGAATATATTTGAGTTGTTATGTAAAATAAGGTACAAAATATCTAGAAGATGATCAAGTAAAACTGGTTGTGATATGTGTTCAGTATGATCCCTTTTCCAATCATCCAGATCATGTCCATATATAACCATTTCCATACCCGTTCCTTAGTCATTTAACCATATTTCTACTAGCCCTAGTCTCCATACACAGGTTTAGATCAAATCTCACATGACACTAGAAAGTTACATATATCTCCTAAATTACAGTGTTCGTATGACTAGACGTCCTGCACGCGTTTCTTCCCTTGACCGTTGTATTTTCGCGAGACATGCGATTAGTCACGACCTGACACGACATTACCCTGTAATAATTATTGACATGGAACCTCTTCGGGTGTCTCAGCGCAAGCATCAGATATTCCTTGGGACCAAAACAGTAGCCTGGAATATACCTATACTTTCTTACGCTTGACTGGTCGTAGTGTAACCGAAACAAAAATTCTTACCAATCCGCTACTTGAAATATGTCAAATATTCCTAAGTAAGATCTAATAAAGTCTTTGCTAGATCTCCAAGAGTTCTGTAAGAAGTTAATAATCAATAACTCAGCTTTGAAGATGAATGCTCATGCTGTCGAAAATATTACGTATAAAAGTTATCCAGATTGTGAGAAATCGTGTCATATGTTGAGGTATTACGTGGGATAGGTCAAGTTTAATATCTTGATATAATTCTTGTTAGCAATAAAACACAGTAGGCTAATTGCTTATAAGATTATAGGTGACAATCCAAGGGTCAGTACTTCCTGACAAAGGACATGTGGAGTCGAGGGAAGGTTTCAATTTTTCTCAAAATTCATTAAGTCATCGTATTGTAGTTCTTCATAGCCTTAAACCCGTCAAAGTCTTTACCTTAAATATAACTTAATCCATTCATAAAGATTCTTTCAGGAAATCCGTAATCTAGTCATCACAAATTAAAATAACCGAAATTGGCGTTCCTCATCATATGAAAATCTCTTATTCAACGTCGCTGATATGTAAATCAAATCATGTGGCTTCGCAAGAACTCATGTATATACATCAACATAGAGAAAGCCGTCAGAAAAGCATCGACCCTGTAGTTCTCCGGATATGCAATCTAGTGCTACAAGATTGGCTGAAAGCTTCCGGTATCATGAGAATAACTCTGAAAGGCCAGCTACTATCTGACCAGCTTCTCGGTGTTTCTCTTATTGGTGTCATATTTGGTGGGTTCAACTTGAAACACTATGTTCAGTTGCATTTTAACCAAGTCTAGTGGCGCTGACTCATTATCTTCGAGGTGGCTTTTGTTGCTACCGGTGAGAGATTTTAAATTCGTACCAGCGGGCTGGTAGATAAACAGCTGCAGTGAGAATGCCAGTGAGGTAGATACCGACGTCACCTCCATGACTGCCGAATATTCTAGCAATTGGTCCTAAAAGATATTAGCAAGACCTATACCTAGTGACGAGTCTGAAGTGTGATTATTCACCAATATACCAGCTCTGTGCCATTCCTGTCACGGCGCCACCTAAGTAGCCTATTAATAGGGCTGTCATGGCTGCGATGCCCCATGGTAGCTTTGAAGGAACATTCCATGACTCTAGGTCATATCCAGACTTTCGCCGAAATACTTTGTCTTCAAGGGCCAAAATAAAGGTAAAGCAGATGCTCCAATAACCTAACATACTGACAAAGTTGATCACCATAGTTGATAAACTCTCACGACCAGCTGTGGCAATAACCATAGCTACAAATGCGATTAGTAGCGACCAGATAAAGCGCGGTACGGCGTGGAAATAAGCCCCCATAAGTTGCAGTGATAAGCCAACCGAATAATTCGTGGCCACATTGTTTCCGAGGACAGAAAAAACGAGCAGGACGAGAACAATCTTGCTAAGCCACAGGGGATGATAAGATTCACGTAGTATTCCACCAAGCCCGTGTTCTTGGTAGGATTCTGCGAGCGCTGGGTATGCGTAAGTGTGGACCTTGGCATCAGAGACCGAAGTGATATTGAAAGCAATATTACCCAGACAAGCCCCTAGAACATTGGCAAATACGGTCGGGATAACAATTCCCAAATAGGTAAGGGTCCATATTTTCCATGAGGGAGTAGTTGCCGGATAATTGCAGTAATAATCGGCAGCTATACAGGACCAGGTGGCAGACGAGGAAAAGTTGATGGCGAGAAAGCTCAAGAAGGCACCCGTGTGAGCAAGGCCTTTTGAGGTTGCAGGATAAGACAAATCAACCATGTGCCCAACTTGGCTATAAAGAACGCAGAAGACGATGAAGATAGATATCCAGGAGTACTTTTCATAGGTGTGGATAATTTTAAATCCAAAAAGAGAGACCAGATATCCAAGGATACTGATAATGACACAGCCGACGATGATGCTTATCTTGTAATCCGAAACAGCCGAAAGTATTTGGCCGACAACAACGACATTTACCGTGGTGTAGCCAATGCCAATAATCACATTAAGGAGAGAGCAGAATTTTGTACCATAGTAGCCGAAGGAAAATCGAGCTGTAGCTATGGCGCGTAGGCCAAGCTGAAAAGTTTAATCAGATTGTAATCATATACAGGGTTCCTACTCACAAATATTCTGACATGCGGGCCACTTTGTGAGGAATCAATGACAAAACCACCAGAGATATAAGTTGAGGAACGTGGGGTAGGCGGGGGGGTTTCTCCAAAAAAAACGTTCTCACCTTTGGACCTAACGACCCACAAAAAGCTGTACATATGGCTCCAAACATTGTCCCTGTAGTAATAGCCATGACAGACTGGGCAAACGATAGACCTAATTCTGATCCGATCATTCCGATTGGAAGGGATCCTACGTGACAGGTTAGTGACCACCACAAGAGAAACATGTTTAGTAACGAAGGCGGCTGTTTATTCTCCTCGAGAATGCGATCGATTCCTTGAGTCTCGATTCCCATTTTTTCATCTAGCCACGCTTCTGCTCGTTGAAGCTGGCACAACACACGAGCCTGGCTCGCATGTTGGGTAGAGTTTGGGTCGGAATTGCAATTGGAGTTGAATGATGATGTGGGCACAGGCGACGCATTGTTTTCCCAGCTGTTCTCTTCGACATCAACGAGTTGTGGGCGGGTAATGACCATGAATAAGAGTGGCAAGCTCGGTGCAAACAGGCCGCCCGAGTCCTTGGAATACTCAAAAGTAGGTTTTGATTAATTAAAAACGATGGCCTATGCGTGCTATTAAACACGAACACGCGTGTACTTATACCTGTGTTCATGTATGTACAGCATATAGAGCTGAAACACTGTAATGTCATACTCTGGCGCTTAGGAGTAGAACTGAACTTCCTCTGCTAATCAATTACCAGATGAGGACCGTCTGAGAGGATGTCTCCAACTTACCGCCAATCCGAAGCTTCCATAGGATCTTGGAGACAGCTACCGCAACAACATGGCTTAGTTTTTCCGTTTTCCGCGAAATTGAGCTTGAATTGCCAGCATTTGACATTGTGCCGTGCTACTTGCGTCTGGGGTTGGAGGCGTTTTCAACCTTGCTCGCGTGAGTGAGTATGAGCTCGACGCCGGTGAGAGCGCCAAGCTGTTCTTGCATCGCATATCGTCACGTGAAATGATACCCTGAAAAAAGATCGAGGCGAGGCTGGTAGCTCCAGAGCTCTCATCAGCTAAGCGCAATAAGAAATGACTACAAACGACTAGTGCCGGCATGCGTTCAGGGCAACATAGCGGTAACAGAGAATGTAGTTTCGCTCTAGGCAAGAGCTTTCCTGTGAATGTAAGCGGCCTCAGCATTTGGGCAACGATGGATAGTCTCAAATTAAGGGAGATCATCCTTCGCCAACGTTCTCAATTCATTAAAAACTATTGTCTGATGGGCCTAGGATGAAGAGGTACGTAGTTCTTTGCTAGGAGGATTGGAGACCTTTACTCTGGATAGGCATGCATGGAGACCCCGACAAATCTCCACTTATTTATGTCGATCGAATCTCCAAAAGACCGCTAGTCAGCAAATTTGGTTATTGCCTTCGCCTTACCAACCAGAGGACTAGACTGATCTACGGAAACAAGGCGATCGGAAAGTGCCGAGGTCACCAGCCCGGACCCGAATAAGTTTTCAAGTCCGGCTTACACTTCCCCACAGTAACGACAATCGCTGTTTGATCTATACTACCATAACTCGCGGTAAACTTCGGCAGCCGAGATTAAAGTGATATATTGTAGAAGAGAAGTAAAGAACAGCAAAACATCCAACTACTGCACATGTGTTCAAGCAGGCATGGCCTTCGGCTAGCACTTAGCACGTAAGTAACGGCAACCTACTTGGACTAGGATAAACATTTTACCCTACACGCCACGGACCCCAGGTTACTTCTCAAGTGAGGTCTCACGACTGATACAACGGTTTAAATTCCTAATTTGAAATTAAAATTATTCATAGAGTCTATGGAATGGTAAGTGACTTTCTGTAGTCTATTACCTAGTTGTGTCAGGCCTAGATGGCATCAAATTTTCACTTAAGTAGATGCTATCCGCCGCTATATCGAAAATAAATTCGACTTAGATCTAAGGGCTTAATTTTAGATAGAGGATCTGAACCTTCAAACCTTCTCAGAAATCTCCAAGGCTCCTTCGAACATGAAATCTTTTCGGCAGCTTGCTTGTACTTCGACCTCTTTCCTAAGCAAGCATTTGAAAAAATGGGTCTCGCGGATTGCCTGTAATAACAGAACTAGTACAAGGAATATCACGGCATGCGCTGGGAGGAGATCCTCGTCGGCTCCACCAGTCTTACGCCAATATTTTACTTGGAGCTTCGGCTTAGGACCTTAAAGTAAATAATGGTAAACGGTATGTCTCGCACACGCTTGTCTATCTACAAGAGACTTCGTTTAGGATTCACACCATGTAAGTTGGGCTCGTTCTATTCACAGCCTTGCCAAATCTTGTGGTCAAATATAATAATTTCAGGCGAAAGCCATAGTGCAGAACCTGTGCGTCATCCGATGAAACGGATAACTGACCTGAGTTCATGTTCCAAACTTTGCTATCCGGTGTTAAGCTTTCATACTCGGTAGGATGCTCCTCGCCCTTCGCTCAGCACATACCACCGTGATAGCCTTACGCCCGCCCTTTCGCAGGGTTGCACGAAACATTTTCGGAGGCATTCGTGAAAATCGAAATTTGCAAGTCCGACGTGCATGACTACTATGATGATCATGTATTCTCCCGTTCGTTGACTTCATCAACATCATGGCGTCGTATATTTCCACGTGCTACCACTCCAAAATGACCGGTGAAAATGCTATCTAGGATGAATGCAATTTGCCGTCAAAGCGTCAACATGTCCGATAATTGTGACTTTCCAGGTTAGCCGCAAAGTCTGGGATTTACTAATGAAGTGTCTGGGCTGCGCGAAGCTTCGACGTTGTGCTCGTCTTCCCTCGCTCAGCAGCCAAATGCAGGGGGAAAAGCTGTTGTCAACTCTACGTCGAGGTTGTGAAAATTATAGTTCCATAACGATGTATGTTAAATGTGATGAATGTCGGGATTTCTTTAACGTTGTATAAGTGAAAGTGATAAACTGCTCTTAGTATATCATAAAATCCATGGCTTCCTGTGAAGTATGTCATTGTTTTGATAAAATTTTAAAACATCGGAATCATTCCCTTATTGGCTTACCTTGAGTCTTTAGACACCTTGATGTACAGGAAATGGAGATCACTTTTGTCTCATTTAATGTATATGCAGCTATCTAGCTATGACACATGATCGTTGTCTTGCGTACATGTAATATTTCATTCTACCGTCAGACATTCACACTCTGTATGTAATTCAGATATACCGATGTGAGACATGTTCGGAGGGCAAGACTGAACACCTGTAAGCGGTGTCCTCTACGAACCTGGGGGTGAAATATTCTCCCAGAGCCAAGTTCAGTCAAATTTCGCAATATCAAAGAAGTTGGCCCACGAGGCAATGATTCAATTTACTCCACCACATCGTTTTTTCGTTCCCAACGAGTTTGACTCCCATCTAAGCCTCATTAAGTCTACAAGTACGGCCAAGTACATCTTCATGTCCGTAACCACACCTCTCTTCGATTATTCTCTAACCGCTGCTGGTCACAAAATACACGCCCACGCCGATATTTATACCCGACGGAGGAAGCAATGCATAGCGCACAAATCTGGGAGACAGTTCTTTGGGATGGGCATGAGAGGGATTAGTACAAGTTGAAAAGATGATGCAAAGGAAGGATATAACCTCGGAAGGCACGAACTTCCGAATTGTGGCAAGAAGTTTTACGAATTCAGCTTTGTGCGCGCCAAGACTTCGCTTGCGAGAATGCAGTTGACACTATAAAAACAAGCAAACGATGGGGAGTGTTGTGGACCGTCTCCCGGTGGTGCTCTCCAGTATAGTCTGAGTAGCCTGGGCACCTACTCCACTTGGAAAGGAGATACCTCAGACCATAATTCGCGCGGAGAAAAGTTGATGGATGATGGAGGCATGTCTGGATAACTCAGGGTTTTTGAGACGTTCCCCTGGGTGGGTTTTCACGGATGAGGGTTGACTTGGGGTGAAGAAAAAGCCACCATAACTTCGCAGTGGTACCTGCAAATGAAATCCGAGGCATGAGTGCTCCTCTTGTAAATTGAGTCATCTTTTCTGTACTTTTCTCTAATATTGTGTCATAGCTAGATAGCTGCATACGCAATTAAAATCTGATGCAAAAAAAAACTAAAACTCCAAAGCTTCTCATTACCCGTATCATGCCTTCATCTTCTTATGCAGGAGCACCGCGAGAGATTTGGCCTAGTCTTGCCGGTAACGAGCTAGCAATACTTGTTTCAGATGGGTGTGGTATCTAAGGTGTCTAGACCGCACTACAGGTGCCAGCCAGAATGTAGCTTCGTGCCCGTGATCCTGTTAAAATTTTGGTTTCCCATTTCCAGCACAAAACATGTGGAATTTGGGAGCCATGAGCGTCATTTCTCTCTTTCCAAGTATATGGCGCATGGATCTCATTTAGGAAAAGGGGCCTTTCTCTTGGACAAGCCGTTAAGCGGCCTGTGCAGGATCGAGTGTAGACGATTGCCCTCACCTACATGTCTCAGACACTTTGTCGAATGGGTAAAGTACTGCCACCATTCTTTCCCATGGTCTTACATTCATCGGATAGAGCATCTACTCGATACCATGAAGGTATATCTTTTTATTCTGACAATCCAGTCTTGTTTCTAATCGTAGCTATCCTAGGGTCAGTGAGATTTCAAATGGTGGACAAGAATGGACACCTGTACGCGGAGTCCTCTACAAACGTGGGGGTGACATATTCTTCCAGAGCCAAGTTCAGTCAAAATCCGCATTTCTATAGTAGTTGGCCCACAAAGTAATAATTCAAAATACCCCCCCACGTTGTCTTTTCGCTCCCAACGAGTTTGAATCCTACCGAAGCCTCAGCAAATCAACAAGTAGACGCCTTAGACCATATTTCGCGCGGGAAAAGCTCAGTGGATAATGGAGGCATGTCTAGATAAATCAGGGCTTTTGAGACATCTTCTTAGGTAGGTATTCGCTGATGAGGGCTGTCTTGGGGTCAAGAAATAGCCACCATAACTTCGCCGTGATACTTGCAAATGAAATCCGGGGTATGAGTGCTCTTCCTGTATATTGAGTCATAACTAGCTAGCTGCATACGCAATCAAAATCTGATGCAAAAACTGGGTCAATATTCAGGTAGGGGATGAATATTAAAAACCTATCACTGGCGTCACCTTCAGACTTTTAGATTTATTATAGAATCTCATCAGCTGAAATCACGTCTAATGCTAGTACAGACAAATTCTTCTAGATTATGCTTCAAAGTTCTTCATTACTCAAGGCATCACAAAAAGTAATGCAGAGCTTTTCGATTACAAACTCTCGTTTATTTTTCTGTATTACAATACGTTTCTCAAATTCTCCTGAAGTACTAGTGATGAAAGGTGATGAAAGGAGGACCTGAAGATAGATAGTGACTCCCTCAGGTACGCATAATTCTGCAGTTCGCACATGTCCAGTCTCAGAAAACTTCTGAAACGCATCTATCCCTCGTAATCTAGTCTTATTTCGGTATCAGA